AGAAATGCTGGTGCAACAGTGCGTCGTCGTGTACGAGACGAAGAAAGAATACTTGATGAATTTTACGAAAATCCCGGGACTAGCGTGCGTCGTGCGGCACACGAATTTGGTTTGTCGCGGTACGAGGTGCATCGCATTTTACGTGTAAACGACCTGTATCCTTATCATTATCAACGTGTGCAACAGCTTTTACCGAGGGACCTACAACCACGGATATACTTTTGCGAAGGTATTGTCGTCATTGATTTTTTATATTCGCGATAATTTAAGAACATATAATAACCGTCGGGAAAAAATGTGCAGGGTTGCTCGCGCAATGTCGCCGGAATTTGTCTTTCCCGGACAATATTTTATGGACCGACGAAGCGACATTTACACCGAATGGCGTGTTCAATTCCCGAAATTTTTTAAATTGGGCACAAGAAAACCCGCATGTCGTCCGTGAAGGCGCGTTCCAATATCGTTGGTCCATAAATGTATGGGCGGGAATAATCGGGAATCAAGTGGTAAGTGTAAATAGAGAGAAAAAATATTTTTCTGTCAAAGTGAAACATTTTTCGTAATTTCCAGATCGGTCCGTATTTTTTACCGCATCGTTTAACTGGCGCAATTTATCAAAATTTTCTCGAAAACGAGTTGCCAGGCCTTCTCGCGGATGTGCCGCTTCGCGTGCGAGCGCAGCTGATTTTTCAACACGACGGAGTTCCGGCTCATTTTCGCAGAGAGGTACGCGATTTTCTAAACGCCCGTTATCCAGATAGGTCGATAGGTCGTGGTGGTCCGATCACCTGGCCGGCACGGTCGCCAGACATGAATGTATTAGACTTTTTTGTATGGGGATACATAAAAAGTCTAATCGAGCACCTGCGTAATGATAGAGAAATCGAGGTACGTGAAGCTATTGTTGCGGCCTTTAATACCATTACGCCGGATATGACGTACCGTGCTACGCGCAATATTATTCGAAGGGCTGAACTTTGCATACGAGAAGGAGGACGACATTTCGAATAATTTTTGCATTAAATATTGAGAGTGGATTAGGCCTACAGGGGAAACCACTATAAAAAAGCGCACCAAGCTATGTACCGCGAGGTGGTGTGAAAATGATAGCGCATCATTTTCTTGCCATCGAAAAAATAATTCGAGAGGATAATTATTTTCCGGCGCTGTGACATCGCTCGTCACTCGATGCGTGATAATTATTTTTTGGCGCGGTGTCGCTCGCCGCTCGCTGCGTGACCCCGCCTCTCTCGCTCAGCTGATACTTCCGACGCTAAGAGACATTAACAAGTAAGCCATTTTACATTTCTATCGATTCCGGCCTACCGCTTCCCACGCGCTCATTGGCTCAGACATTTTAATTAATAACATAATAATTATTGCGAATTTAGCAAAATGGTATAGGACTTTTCGCTTCAGGTTGACCTAATCTATCTTTACTTTTTGTTTGGCTACTTACATGTCGGACACCCTGTATATACAGGGTGTGTCGAAAGTCTGGATACACTCAAATATCTCGTAAACATTGCATTTTAGAGAAAAATATTTCAGACAAAAGTTGTAAGGCTTAAAAAGACACAATCAACGGTAATAGCTGTTTGACCTTGAATGGCGTTGCCAAGGTCAGATCAAGGTCAAATTGAATTTTTTAAATGGAATTGCCTACTTTTTATTGCATATTCTTGTAGCTTATCTCGAGAGCTTTTCAAAACACTATTAACAGATCAAGGCAGAAATTTCCTTAGCGATCTAATAAGGAAAATTGCAAAATTATTTAAAATTCGTAAGTTTCGCACGACAGCCTTCCATCCTCAATCAAATGGATCATTGGAAAGATCACATCACGCATTAGGCGAATATTTAAAACAATACGCGAATGAACAAAAACAATGGGATAGATGGATTAGCCTTGCCATGTTTAATTATAATACGAGCGTACATGAAGCAACAAAGCATACTCTATAGAGCCGTCGTGTACAAGACGAAGAGAGAGAGTATTGGATGCATTTTATAAAAATCCCGGGACTAGCATACGTCGTACGGCATACAAATTTGGTTTGTCGCGGTACGAGGTGCATCGCATTTTACGTGTAAACGACCTGTATCCTTATCATTATCAACGTGTGCAACAGCTTTTACCGAGGGACCTACAACCACGGATATACATTTGCGAAGGTATTGTCGTCATTGATTTTTTATATTCGCGATAATTTAAGAACATATAATAACCGTCGGGAAAAAATGTGCAGGGTTGCTCGCGCAATGTCGCCGGAATTTGTCTTTCCCGGACAATATTTTATGGACCGACGAAGCGACATTTACACCGAATGGCGTGTTCAATTCCCGAAATTTTTTAAATTGGGCACATGAAAACCCGCATGTCGTCCGTGAAGGTGCGTTCCAATATCGTTGGTCCATAAACGTATGGGCGGGAATAATCGGGAATCAAGTGGTAAGTGTAAATAGAGGGAAAACATTTTTTTCTGTTAAAGTGAAACATTTTTTGTAATTTCCAGATTGGTCCGTATTTTTTACCGCATCGTTTAACTGACGCAATTTATCAAAATTTTCTCGAGAACGAGTTGCCAGGCCTTCTCGCGGATGTGCCGCTTCGTGTGCGAGCGCAGCTGATTTTTCAGCACGACGGAGCTCCGGCTCATTTTCGCAGAGAGGTACGCGATTTTCTAAACGCCCGTTATCCAGATAGGTCGATAGGTCGTGGTGGTCCGATCACCTGGCCGGCACGGTCGCCAGACATGAATGTATTAGACTTTTTTGTATGGGGATACATAAAAAGTCTAATCGAGCACCTGCGTAATGATAGAGAAATCGAGGTACGTGAAGCTATTGTTGCGGCCTTTAATACCATTACGCCGGATATGACGTACCGTGCTACGCGCAATATTATTCGAAGGGCTGAACTTTGCATACGAGAAGGAGGACGACATTTCGAATAATTTTTGCATTAAATATTGAGAGTGGATTAGGCCTACAGGGGAAACCACTATAAAAAAGCGCACCAAGCTATCTACCGTAAGGTGGTGTGGAAATGATAGCGCATCATTTTCTTGCCATTGAAAAAATATAATTCGAGAGGATAATTATTTTCCGGCGCTGTGACATCGCTCGTCACTCGATGCGTGATAATTATTTTTTGGCGCGGTGTCGCTCGCCGCTCGCTGCGTGACCCCGCCTCTCTCGCTCAGCTGATACTTCCGACGCTAAGAGACATTTATATGGAACACAATGCAAAAGATTGCGTTTTCTATTATGCATGTTTGAAATAATTATGTTGGTAATAGCGGAACTAAAAATGTCGGTATTATCAACCTTTTTAGTTACGTTTAGATGAAGGCGCTAACCCATCGGAGTTCGCCCGTCGGTTTAGGATCCCCTTAAGAGGATGCAGGAGCGACGGGCGAACTCCGACGGATGAACGCTCTCATCTAAGTGTAATTAAAAGTGTCGGTATATTACCAACGCTTTATAGTTATATTACCGATATCACAAATATCTCGTAAACATTGCATTTTAGAGAAAAATATTTCAGACAAAAGTTGTAAGGCTTAAAAAGACACAATCAACGGTAATAGCTGTTTGACCTTGAATGGCGTTGCCAAGGTCAGATCAAGGTCAAATTGAATTTTTTAAATGGAATTGCCTACTTTTTATTGCATATTCTTGTAGCTTATCTCAAGTGCTTTTCAAAACACTATAATAAAGTATTTTTGCTTTAAGTACTTTTTGAGTTATTTTATATTTTAATCTGACATATTTTGATACAAAAAATAAAATATCTCGTAAAATATTTAGTTTTCGATAATCTTACCGTAATACTTTTATGTACAGAATAATGAGACAAATCAATAAGTAAAAAAAAAATAATTGTTTTTAAGAAAAAGTATGTAATTATTTACTATGTATTGTTTTAAACAATTATTTGTTTTTTTTATAGCAATTGATTTGTTTTATTATTCTGTACATAAAAGTATTACGGTAAGATTGTCAAAAACTAAATATTTTACGAGATATTTTA